CAGCTGCTCTATTATTCTGTCCAACTCTCACTGATTAACATGCTCATGGAGGGGGGGTAAATAAATAGTGCAAACTGAGATTGAAAAGCGTAAATTAATCTGGATCGCCACAGCTTGAAGGGAGGTCATCAAAGAGAGAGCAGTGTATGGATGACTGTGGGAGGTGATAAGGCCCACACCACCACAGGCACAATCCCCAGATGGGTTGTCCATTCTTACTGTGGTATATCTCCATATCTTAGCATGTCTGCTTGGTTTTAACAAGGTCCCCTGAAGTACAAAGCAGGCAGGTTGATAGATGTTGATTAAATCCTTGATATTGTCCACATTTTTACGGAAACCCCGGCAATTCCACGAAATAAATGCACCCATTATGAATGCTTGTTTTGGCAGTGTTGTTTTTTTGACTTTCGAGGCAAAAGGTGTTTTGGAAGGGATAACTCTTGTTTAACGTCCATTTCATCCAAGTCTTCCTGAACTCATGCTTGCAATAAAACTTTGAATGGGGGGGGGGCCTGGGTTTTTGCTTATTTTTCTCTTTGATAACATCTCTATGTTTGTTCTGTTGGACATTCTGTTTTCCTTTGGATGCAGTCACCGGTGTACTATTTTCAACAGGTTTCTTCCCTGATTTTTGGTTTCTAGGATCTTCTGTTATTGCTCTTTTTTTTTTTTTTTTTTTTTTGTTGTTGTTGTTGTGTGTGTGTGTGTGTGTGTGTGCAGTTATTGTGGTTTGCTTTAATATTGATCTGAATGATTTTGTTGCAGATGCATACGATTTATTAGGTCTTGGCTAATTAGAGATAACAAGTATTTTGGCATCTGCAAATGATATCTTTTGTGTAACTTTAATGTTTTGAATTTGTTTTTCTGTCTGCCATTTCAGACATGATCTTGAAAAAGCTGGGTGCTCGCCAATACAATTTATAAATAAGAGGGCAGCACAGCAGCCTTCACTGGCATGGCCTGCGATGGAACATCGAGCGAACATGAGGCAACCGGGACAAGAGATCTTTCTATGTCCAAAGTGCTGACATTGAAAGCAAAACATTGGATTCTGTATATACGACCTGACTGAACAGTTTAGGTATCCAGCTTTTATGTTTTTAGGCAGGTTAAGAGACTTGTAAGTAAGCATGACATGTTTAGTGGGATTGAGTTGACCTTCTCTCCTTATTTTGATCCTAGGAGCACCACATACGTTTTGATCTGTTAAATCTTTAACAAATTCCTCTTCAATTACTGACAGTAAGTCTATTTCAGAGATTACTCCTCGGGACAAATTTAGAGTGTTATGTGTTTGCTCAACAGCAATGTTTGCTCGTCCTAATTTAGTTAGTTTCAAAAGACTATTAGACTGCTTTCCAGACACAGTTTCTATCAAAAGGTCTCTAGACCGAAGTCTCTTAATATTTTTCAGTTCTCCTACAGAAGACAAAAGATGTTTGTTTATTAGAAAGGTGACATATTTTTCAATTCTTCAGAGCTGGTTATAATTAAGAAACATGGACAAAATACATCTGATACAGTTGCTTCTTAGTCTTTTTTTTTAGTCTTAGTCTTTTGGTCACAACTGGAGTATCGCATACATTGTTGGAGCAGGAAGGTATCGTAGCATTCATATTTAAATGGAGAAAGATTCGGGTCTGATTGCCCCACCAACCATGGAGCCCAACAAGGGGACGCAGATTTCTACGCCAGGGCTAGCCAGACCTATAAGCAAACTGAAGTCGCACAGTCAGCTTTTCCAAAAGCACGTACTTCTGAGAGCTTGTCTCCAAGCCACTGACACAAGGACTAGAGACCAGCCGATTGACACCCATGATGACAAGGTGACTCCCGTTTAACTGAAGCAGAGGCCAAAGCAGTGTGTTGGGGACAGTACCTCACCCCTCAACTACCAGGACTCTCCTTTCCAGTGACACGAGTCTCCATGCACGGCAAACACATGGGCAGTTTTCTTTCCACTCGAAGAACTAGAGACAAGGCTGTTCCAGTGTCTTATGATGAGCCCGAACCTCAGAAGAGAAAACCACAAGGGAGAAGGAAAACAAGAAAAGTTGCAGTTAAGAGGAGAGAAGGCTGAAAGGAGAAGAAATCACTGGGGCTCCAGGATTGTGACACCCGATCACCAAGATGGTAATCCCTTGAAGGACCTTCGCCTGCTATGCTTTAGCTGGGCATGCCAGACACATTTGAATAATCTAAGTAAAAAAAAAAAAAAAAAAGCTCTTCAAATTTCTTCCACAACCGAGCATGTACGCTGATAAAGAAAAAATTATGGAGCAAACAGAATGCAAAGCCCCATCAAGCTTCTAATCTATAGCATTTTTAGTTAGCGATCATTGAAGTTATAAATTGGAGGTAAAATAAATAAGTAAATGTTAAATTTATCATTGGGAGTTATAAATCTGTTATATTGATGGGAAGGAGAAAATTTCGCTTCCTGAGTTAGCCAATTCAGAGGTAGTTTTATTTTACCTGTCCTCTCAAGTTTAGGATACCAAGTTAGGTAACTAACAAAAATCTGTATGAATAATTGACGAAAAAATTAATGAATAATTGACAAAATCAAAGTTTTTTAAGATGGTATATGTGCTGCCATGACATATATATTTGGAGATAAAATATGCATAGATTGCTGTTATGTTCAATAAATATCAGTAACAGCAATTTATTTTTGTTTCTTATCTTTACATTCAGATGTAGCTTTCAGCACAAATAGAGAAAGTTTACTACTTTTGATTTTTACTTTTATTATTTTTCATGTTTTATATGTAGGAAGATATTTATATATATCAGTCAAAAAATAGGGAACAAGGGTCAGCTACACATTCACACACCCAGACTGAACCTCGAATAAAGGGAAAGCACCAATACCAATAATGAATTATTGCTGGTTTATCATGTGAGGAGGCAAGGCCATCTATTGGCAAAAATAATAAAGAATTATGATAATAGAATTTTAAAGGCATTCGGGAGGAGTGGATTGGACTTAAAATCATTCACTAAACATGTTAAATCCTTGTGACAATAAAAGCCTCAAGAAAATCCAATTCACCAACGGAAGAAGGCTTTTGCAAAACCAAAGTCAAAATTATGATTAAATTTCCAACTATGATATGCTATTGAGGACTTGTTAATTTCGCCTTTTCGGACATAGGATTCATGTTCCTTGATATGAAACTTTAACGCTCTTTTTGTTTGGCCAATATATCTCAAGCCACGCTAACACAATATACTATAAATTCCCCAAGAATTAAAGTCAGAAATGCAATCTTTTAGAATCGAACAGTGAAATTTATTAATAGGGGAGTATATGACTTAAAAATTGAATTTCTGGAGAATCCATACAACTTTATAACTAACAGAAGGATAAAATGGAAGCACGACAAGGTGATTAATATTATTTCTAACAGTGGAATGTCTTCTTTGATGGGAATCTGAAAATTTTTTAACGGCTTTATCAATGATCACAGGAGAAAATCCTCAGTCAATAGCAACTGCTCTCAAATAATTAAGTTCATTGTTCCAAAACATTTTTTGAAGCTCCTACAGCATCATCTAAAGTATATCAATTCCGTGAAGCACAAAGAACACTTGGAGAACTGGACAGTGAAACACTAGCAGGATTTGATTTGGGGAAAAAGCCTTTTATTCCACCAATAGCTGTATTTTCCCTTTCAGAAATTTTTATACTTGGCACCTAGAAAAAAATAGAATTTATTGTACATTTATTTATTTTTCCACTCATATTAATATTTAAATAATTTAACTGAAATTTAATTTAAATTTTTTAATTTCACACATTAATATTAATAAAAATTAAATAGAAAAAAGTTTACTTACGATCCATGTGACACTTTAAAGAAGACTCTCTCATACTTGCTATGTTGATTTCAGTTTTACACCAGGAACACATGGCCTTGTGATTATTTTCGCTTAAGCCATCCAGAATATTTTTCCTTAGAAAGCCAATCTATGTTAACAACACACTTAGCCATTTTTTAAGTTTATCTATATTTCAGAATTTACTGCAAATATATTATAAATATTCATACATAACAATCATAATAAACGCAAATATGAAATGAACACATGGGATGAGAATGCTAATTATAAAAATCTTGATCGAAATTGGAACATCTATAGTCTGTGGGTGAGAGGAAATGTATGTGAAATGTACCGGAATCCAATTCACAATTCTTTCACCAACAGAACGACATGCACTGTCTCTATTCACGTAAATCAAAGGTTACGTTAATGCAGAGAAAGCTATTTCCCGAAGTATGATTCCCAATCTAACACTCCAGATAAGAAAGAAAAAGTTGTTTATTTAATTGCGGCTTTGATACGGGGAAAAAAAGCACTAAAAACAAAAAAATAAGTGCTTTAGAGAAAAAGTAAGCACCTATAAGGGCCTTTATAATCAAATTTCAAATATAAGGACTCGTAAGCACTTGTAAGGACTGCTACGAATCCTGGAGTTTGTTAAACAAAAATTCTTTAATGTCTGACAAAATATGAAATAGCTAATAAAGCAAATTTCAAATTTGAACTTCCAGATTCCCATATTCGTGTGACACGTACATTATTCAAAATTTTACGGCTCTAGGTACCGTTGTTTTATCACAATGCGAGAAACATACATACATTTATGCAGATTCGTCATTATTTAATTTCTTTAAATATAATACAGAGCTAATATTTGGTGGCAATAGTTTGAAAAGTGAATCAACACAAAATACTAAAATGAAATTAATAGCTCTTCTGGGCAAAATTGCCCCTTTGTGCTTTAAAAAAAAAAAAAAAAAAAACACCTTTTGCATAATTGAAAGATTTCATCTGAAAATAAATTCTGCCATTTAAAAATTAGTTTTATAGTATTTTTCAAATATTAATGTTTTTTTATTTTTGAAGGTTGTCATAAATAATGTTTTGCTTCACTTAAAATGCTTTAATATATTAATTATTTCCAATTAATGACTCGCAGAAAAAACAAAGAATTTTTTATTATGTTTATGCAAACCTATACGAATATACATCTTTTATATTTCTCATACATTTTCTTTTACATACACACACACACATATATATATATAAACAGAAATTTCTGTTACATCTGTTACATGCTAAAAAAATTCACAGAAGTTCTATAAGAAATATAGAGTCAAGTTCCTCTTCCTTAGTTCCAGAGGAGTCTCGATGAAGGAAAAATCATGCATAAAATTTAAACCTAAAAAAAAAAAAAAAAAATTTTTAGTACCATATTCTCTGCAATAAAATACATTGCATATACCCCCCCCAAAAAAAAAAAAAATGCAAGAAGTAAAATTACAAATTTCTAATAGAAAAAGGCATTCTCAAATAGCTGAAATTGTTTCACAAATTTTCGTGCAGGTATAATGCAAACAAGAAATGCAGCAACAAAATATATTCTACCAACCGAGCCTGACTAATTAGAAATATGATACATCACAGCCAGGGACAGCACGAAGTACATTGCCACCTGGTGCAATCTCTGCGTGTCCTAATTTCTGCTGTATTTATAGGTCCTGAAAGCTTTTTTGCCTCTAAATTCTGCTGACCAGTGCCCTCCCCTAAGATTATAAAATTTTGCTACTCTGTAGTCTCTAAATTGTAAAACTTTTGACTGCCACTGGTCCAACTGGCCCTAATCAAAGCGAAGAGGCAAGATGTTACTTGCTATTGATAAACTGTATTGTAAATGACACAGATCTAAAAAAAAAAGTATTTTATTTTCCAAATATTCCATGAAAAATATAACTGCAGTCAGAATTTAACACACACAACATAAAATAAAGTGATGGAAACATTCAGTTTGATCGGCAACAATGCATAAAAACACAATATTTGGAAACATAAAAGACCAGATTACTAAATTAGGACACAGTATAGTTCAGCTATTTAGCAAAATGAAAAAGTAACTTAATGTATTGGAAATTGCCACACATTTATGTAAGATACAGTAAAAACCTAGATACTTTCATAATAAATTCTTGCCGAAATAAAATAGATATCACTATTTCTGTGAAAATAAAATTAGTAGTTACACAAGAAAATTGGAGCAAACATTTAGCTGCAAAGTAAACAATGAACACCAGCTTTGTGTTAGAGCTCCTAATTATTCCTAAGATGGCTGCAAGATGATTTACAGTTTCCATCTTTGTACAGGGGTGTTATTTTAGTTATAAGTTGATCTAAACACACAGTAAAGTTATTCATTGAAAAAAAATATTAACAAAAACTACTTACAGAATGAAGCAATTCAAATAGCAAATTATGCAGTAAAGAATACAAACACGAAAAAAGGAAGCTCTCACATGAAAGATTAGGCCTCTAAAAGCAGAATATATTTTTTAAATGTTCAATCGATATTCCTTTGAGAACTACACATTCGAATTGTGATTAAAAAAAAAAAAAAAAAAAAACATGTACAAACTGAGGTTTTGGACCTTTGTTTGCAGAACGCCTGTCATGTAAAATATGGACAATGGCAAAAAGGCTAGAAAACAAACATGAACACACTGGTCCCATTTTCGGCACTACAGGTGTGGTCTTCATTCAAAAGCCCATGCCAGATATTATCTGATTACCTGCATCTCAGTTTCAACTTTTAGTGACATACTTTTAAAAAATCTTTCATGTGTCAAAAATATGTCATCTTTTGGTGATATATTTTTCAAAAACAGCAGTTCATTTTAACATCATGCATACATGACAAACCCACAGAACCACAATTAAACAAGTGATAATAAATATGCAAATAATATAAATTCTTTCCTTGGAGAGGGTATATGGAAAGTTTTCTAATTATAAATTATGCAAATAATACGTATTTTATCTGGTTGTAACAAAAGTTTTCCACCCAAAAAATGTTCTTAATAAAGTTAAGGAAAAAAATATGAAAATAGTACCTTTAGGGCAGGTATTCACCCAAATCTATGATTTTCTGCCAACGTTTTGGTAGTTTATCAAAGTTTTCAGCTGAGAAACTTTTTTTGGCTGTGAGTCCAAAAACAGATCAACCTCATTTTGGACGTCCTGTGCAGTATAGAAGATAGGACTAGCAAGATGTAGCTGCAGGTGTGAAAAAAAAGGTAGAAGTCCGAAGAAGCAATGTTGGAGCTATATGGTGGGTGTTGCAAGAGATCCTATTTGAATCCATACAGAGTCCAGTGGTAAATAGACACATGTGGTCTTGCATTATCTTGATAGAACATTGCCTTTTGCACCAGAACTCAGTTCAATGTTTTTCCTTGATAGCAGTATCAACACAGACTAACATCTTGCTGTGCACCTTACTGTCAAGGTTTTATCTTTTTCCAGATATTCTTTGTGGATAATACCATGGCAATCCCACCAGATACAATTGTGATGCTGCCGATGGCTCACCAGGTGTACACTGACCTCCTTTTCGGCCTGTGTTGTTGAAGTAAATCCACTTTTCATTACATGTGACGATCCTGTCCACAGTTTTTTCCTTGCATTGATATTCAAGCAGATTAGAGCAGGCCCAAACACATCTGTCCTTATCTGCTTGAGTCAGCTCATGTGGCACCCAGCGATTGAACTTGTATGTCAAGTTTATGTAATGCATGGTGCAACTAATGGACATGCCACTAACGTCTATCTCCTTAAGAAGCTCTCGATTGGTTGCATACTGATTTGGTGACACTCTGCAGGTGACCTTTTGCAACAGAACTGGAGGTGATGTTTCTAATCTGGTAATGTGATAGTTCCATTTCAGACACCTTGTGCTCAATGATAACGATATTTTTTTACAAATTTCACAATACAGTGTTCTAAAGAAGATCTCTTTCTTTCAAATTCTAAAAATCATTTGACAAAATATGATTAAACATGTCAATGAAAACTGTTTGCGCAGACAATATTTGCTGTGGCAGAAAACTTCCGTTAAAACCCTACATATATTATATAAAAATTATACCAAACGTTCATAAAATGCTCCAACTATAAAAGAAATGTTTGACATCCAAGTAAATAACTTAATAAAATAAGCAAGTTGGAACAGTCAACACATTAATGCAAAGTGCATACACCTGTAAAAATATATCATAGGTAACTGTCCCAATAATTTTAATTAAATGAATTAGAAGAGGGATAAAAGCATTTCATAGCAAATAAATCACTATAAAGTTTCCAATACCATGTAATAAAGGTGATCCAATTTAGATCATAAGGACAGGCACATACTTTCAGTAATTTTTGGTAAACAGAGATTTACCCTTGCAGTATTTCCTAATGTAATGTAAATGGAAGAATAAATTGTTAATAACAAGATTGAATAAATACTACCATCCACTCATGAAAAAAAAAAAAAAAAAAAAAACTTACTTTGTAAAAAAATCATTTCGGCAATCGATCTCCTTTTATGCAGATACAGATGCACGAACAATTTTCAACCTTTGATAAAAAAATAAGCACGTTTTATTTCGGAATTAACCTACTATCAAATCATAAACACAAAATAATCGATATAAAGAATAAATTATTTCTCACCTCTCAATCCCATCTGCTTTTTCAGAAACGCTAACTTATCGCAATACACATAAATGCAAACAAACGAACAATAGGGTTACAGCAAACATCCTTCAGCTGACAGATGCAGCTGTTTTTACAACCCTGACACTGCTTAACGAAACCTGTGTGTAAAATAATATATCAAATGGTTTTAAATATAATTTAGGGAAAAAATGATTTGTAACTGGTATAAAAATTAATTATTTTGTGAATTTTTACAGAAATAGGAAATTTTTAAACTTGTGCCGGCATCTATTGATGGCATTCCAAACCACACGTTCAAATTACGTATTTCAAACGGATTTTTCAAAAATACAACATTTAAGTAAATTTTATTCCAAACTTGATTTCTAACTTTGACAAATAAAAGCTAACATATTGCTCTATATTTCTGCCAAATTTCACGTAACGCATTCTCTTAATTAACGTTCTTAAGCGTAATCTAACTTTCAGCATTGTAATGCAAGTGTATTAGAAAACCTTAAAAGAAATAATATTGTAATAATTACCTACAGTTTATCAATTACAGCTGTAAACTTTTTATGTTAACTGCAACCACATCCTTGAGAAATTAAATTACTCGCATAATTTCCATCTCTTGATTTTTGGATGATAGAATTCATAAAAAAAAATCTGATGTGTACACCACGACTTCCTTGTATGAAATATTAAATTATATGCATTTTTTCTTGTATTTCATTTAAACTTATTGGATAGAATTAAATCTACTTCGTCAATAGCGCATAAACCACAATAGAATAAATGCACTCTTTGAAATTCACTATATTTGTTTACTATAGCAACACTCTGGCGCTACATTCATTTAACAGCATTACATTTCATTCATATTATAACTCAGAATGCACAAAATTTATATCATTTGAAGAATTGTCTAATCATTGCCACATGTTCTATCCAAATACTATACTAAATCTAAAATGATGTATAAAAGAAATTTAAGCAAACAAAACAAAAAAGAAACAGTTTTTCACAGATGATTCAGTATTTCTCATTCAATTAATTCAATTCTCGCTTCGTAACAAGGCAAAAATACATAAAAACTCAAAATATCTGCATTAAAAATTACAAAGTAAATCTTAAACACTTATTTCCCTGGATAAATTCCAGAATGGATTCAGCATGATTTAATTCACTATAATAAAAGAAGGTGTTATCTTTGTTGTTGAGAAGCTTAGTTTGTCTAAACTGGCGACAAATCCGCTACTTGAACAAGTTTCAAATGTAAACAAACATGGCCGATACATACAAAACAAACAAAAATAATTAGGCTTAGTCGCACTTATAAATTGTTGATAACTCTATAGATAGTGCATGCAGATTTACTAAATGCATAAAAACCTTAACCCGAAGATAAGAACACCATAATTCAATCATTTTTAAAGCAAAAAAAGCACAATTTTTAAACATATAAGAGTAAAGAAACTGAGAGCATTTAACCGGGTAACAAAGTGAATATATATATATATATATATATATACACACATATACTTATATACTTTTGGTGCGGCCGATTGCAACCAAAATGCGAGGTGCACATCTGCATGAAATAGCAGTCCTATATGCAAAATTTTGACGTTCTGAGGCTACTCATCCTGAGCCAGGAAAAATTCTTTTTAGAATTAATTTTAAATCAGTTTTATAATTTTTTGGGGGAAAAGAGTCTTTTATTCTGTCCTTACATACTGATCTCATGCAAAAACTTTGTTAAATTGCATTCGATAGTTGTCAAAATGGATATTTTCATTGAAATATGATGCCTGAAACTTCGCAATTACAATATTTTCTTTTTACTTTACCTCACTAAAAACACGGTTTTCAAGATCTCCACAACGTATTGAACCATCGTAACTGCATGAAAAGATCATATTAGGATTTACTGGACTGTACTGTAGATGTGGAATCTTCTGATGATGCACATTTTTAAATAAGTATGGATCAGATTCAGAATCCTATAAACACAGAAACAATACTATATTATGTACATTTGCATTTACAGCTAGCTACATTAAAGTTTATTTTCTAACACAGTACAAAGTCCGCAATCTGGACTTGTCAGGACTTCAGCGATTCCGAATTAGGGGTTTTTCCAAATTATAGATTATCAATTTAAATCTGGTAAGATGGCATGCAGAAATTATAAAATTAAAAATATGAAACCGTAATTTATGAAATAAAGAGCAATTATGATCTAAAAGGTATCAAAATAAAACTTAATATTTATTTGTTTGTTAAACATTTCTTTCAATGTAAGTTGCTTTGTTTTTTTCTTGTGCTAATACTTTCTCTTTAATTCTATAAGCAGACACATAATTTCTTGGTCAGTTACAAAGTTTCACTGTTGAAGTCCTGTAATTGCTGTGTCGAGAATGTCGAGAATACTGACTAACTTGTCAATAGAAAGTTTTTTGTTTTCAATAACCTCTCTGTCCCTTTCTTCACTATCGGAAGCATATTAACTGAATCTAGAACCATACTACAGGTTTCGCCATCTGTTAATTGATTGATGATTGGGGCATTGTCATCGCAATGGAAAACTTCTGTTATATCCTCTTCATTTATTACCACTTCTCCACATCTCTTTACAAAATTCAATAACCGGAAAATTTCACCTTTAGTTTGAGATGTCCGAAAACTTTCAAATTCACGGCTATCATCTTCATCGTCCTCACCGTGAAATGTGATAGCTGGCCATAAATTGTGCCAAGCATTTTTAAACGTATCTGAAAGACACATCCTCCCACAATTTTGCGATGCTCCACACAGCAAATTTTATGCTAAAAAATTTTAAAAAGTCTGGAATAGTCTTTGTTCAAGAAATTTAAAGTAGATTTTAAAAATGCTATTTTATATTTGTATTTCAGTGCATGCACCATTCCCATATCCATAGGCTGAATGACAGACATACAATTTGGAGAAAAGAGTAATATGGATACATTATTTTTTACTAAAACTTTAAGTGAAGTATGAGCCGAACAGTTGTCTCGGGCAAACTCACTGAATTCAAATGTCCCCGAGCCTCGGGTATAAAATCATTTTCAAACCAATCATTCATCAACGCTTGTGTCATCCATGCTCTTTTATTTGCGCAATATATAACGGGGGAAATCGTTACTCCTTTAAATGCTCATGCACGTTTTACAATTATGAAAAGTTTGCATTTGTGCGTTCCTGGAGCATTTGTGCACTAAAATTATTTGTGCGCTAAAATTATTAGTCTCGCTTTGGAATCTTTGACATCAGCTGGAGCCTTTTCTGTAGAGGTTGCCAAGATATTTTGCAGTACATATTGCCAGAAAAGACCAGTTACATCAGCGTTGTAAATTTGTTCTGGAGATAATTGTTCACTAGTAATGAGTTCAATGAATTCATCTGCAAATTGTTCAGCAGCTTCAGTATCAGCTGAAGCTTTTTCACCTGAAATTTTTAATTGTCTTATACCATGGCAATTTTCAAATTTGGTTAACCCACCTGTCGAATATGTGCACTCAGTGTTTAAGTTCATTTCTTCATGAAATATTTTGGCTTGAGCCATTAGCATTGGACCCGTCAATGGCACGCCCTTGATGCGACGCTGTCTGACCCATTCAATCATCGCTTTGTCATGATCGTCACTTTTAGCATAACGAACCCTTTTTCTGTTATTCATTGCAAATGGGGTGTCGGAATTAACAAAAAATTCAAAAGTTCTTTTTTCTTATGTCATATACAGTTGACTTTCCAATGTCATACTCCTCGCATAATTTTCAGACGGATATACCTTTATCCATTTTTTGCAGCAATTCCACTTTTTATTTGATGGACATCGAAACATGCTTTGGCTTTGTAGATCCTTTGGCAGCTCCAGAATTGGAAACTCTTTTTGACATAATCGAAAGTTCAAGCTTAATTTTTATAAAATTGCTCTAACAGTCTGCAAAAATTAATAAGCCAGATCCAATTAGAAGATTAAGGAACAGCGCAATCTGCAACATTAACTGAAATGCCTTAGAATCAGTAAAGATAATTTTAGCCTAGCTTATACTATCTGTTAAACATTAAACGTGCATGCATAAAGCATGCAAAAGTTTGTGGCTTTGAGGCCTGGATTATAGATCATTCCGGTTAATGGACATCCGGATTACGGACTTTGTACTGTATTTTTAATTCCATCTGCATAAAATTTTCAAATATTAAATTCAAAATACTATTTTTTATCAAACTGTAATGCAAACAAAGCTTACAAACTAAAGACAATAATTATACCAAATAAGTAAGTATCGAAACAAAATGTTTTATTAAATAAAAAGGAATATATAACTAAAAACACTCATGAAATAATTATTTTAATTAACAAATTAATAATACAGTCAAAAGTCGTTAATTCGGACACCCATAATTCGGAATGATCTATAATCCGGACCTCAAAACTAAAAACTTTCTGCGCATGCGCCTCGTTGACACATGCGCATAGGCGTTTACGCGTGCACGTAAGACCTTTTACGACTGCGCATATGAGTGTGCGCAAGTGCAGAATACGTTTTCGCGCGCACGTTTTATATATAATGGACGTATAAGCTAAAATTATCTAATTATCTATTTCAGTTAATGTTGATGATTGCATTGTTCCTTAATTTTCGAATTGGATCCGGCTTATTATTTTTTGCAGATTGTAAGAGCAATTTTATAAAAGTAAGCTTAAACTTTCGATTATATCAAATAGAATTTCCGATATATATTTGTTAATATGTAAAGGATCTAAAGCGAAAGTATGTTTTGAAATCCGAAATCTGTTTATCAATTTCACGCTGCTCGGCGAGGGGAACGTTGCGGCGGGCACGTAATGAATTGGAAGTTGATCTGTCAGCACTATCCTTATCTTCAGCGCAGATGTTTTTATTTTGCTTTGGCTTATAATTCCTTACCAAATGTAGTATTTCATCTCGATATGCTCCATCTTTGATATGATTTAAAACAAGTCCCTCGTCATTATAATTCGCTTCCGATAGCGAAGAAAGTGACAGAGGTTATTGAACACGAAAAAATTTCGATTGACAAATTAGTCGGTGTTCTCGACACAGCAATTATAGGACTTGAACAGCGGAACTTTGCAACTGAACAAGAAATTATGTCTGTTTAATAGAATTAAAGAGAAAGTATTAACACATGAAACGAAGCAAAACTTAACCAACTTACATTAAAAGAAATGTTTAATAAAAAGTAAACAAAATAAATATTAAGCTTTATCTTTTTGAAAATTTTGATACCCTTTAGATCATAATTGTTCTTTATTTCATAAATTACGGTTTCATATTTTTAATTTTAGAATTTCTGCATGCCATCTTACGAGATTTAAACTGATGATCTATAATCCGGAATCGCCGAAGTCCCGACGAGTCCGGATTAACGCCTTTTGACTGTACATTAATTACATAATTAATAACAATTTTACCTATTAATTATGGATACTATATATTAAAAATCTGAGCACCATGGCCAGCTTTATCCAGTTATGAGATTTTTTGTCACTTGGTATATATTAACTCATAATTTACGATACTTTGTTTTCTTACTTTCTTTAATAATATAAATATCAACTTTATAAATATAAGTTTATGAAAATAGAGATTAAAGTAAGTAAATATAGAAATTTAACTAATAAAGGCTCTTTAAATACAGGTCTTCATGACACATGTAAAAATCCTAGCCACTCAGAGGGTTAACTGATAGTTATATCTCTTAAAAATACCTCAGTCCTTTATTTAATGACTTAAGCAGTCATTAGAATGATCCATTTAATAGTTCTCTGGATCACCTAGTAGTAACTTAAGATAACTTTTTGCACTTTTTGATTAAGAGAGTGCCAGTTGCAATAGTGAACCAAATGTGCTAAATGTGGTTTCAATTTGTATAATTAAGACACAATAACATGCTGAATAAATACTAGTTTCGATGGTTTTACCGAACCACCATCCTCAGCTGCAAAACCGCTAATGAACAATATAGGAAAAAATTATTAGGTAAGATTAGAAAGCCTGGACAAGAATAAGCAAGTGGCGTCATCTGTTGGTGAAACCAGAACTAAAACATAATTTCTTTAAAGGCCGAAGAAAATTTGGATTGGAATTAGGATCGTTAACTAGAACAGAAAGATTTTTATGAATGTGAAATGCCTCTAGAAAATCCAGTTCTCCAATGGAAGATGATTTTTTGAATAATTTTGGCAGCAGAAAAATTGAAAGTGTGATTTTCGGACCAACAATGTTGCGCAACAGAAGACTTCTGTGTTTCCTTTTTTCTAACATATGCCTCATGTTCCTTGACGCGAAATTTTAAGGCTCTCTTAGTTTGGCCAATGTAAATTAAACCACACTAGCAAGGAATCCTATAAATACCCCAGGAATTCATATCTGGAAGGGGGTCCTTAAGTAAGGAACTCGGAATTTTATTGATAGGAGAATAAACAACCCGAAAGTTAAATTTCTGCAAAATATGTGCACTTTATAGCTAATTGATGGAAAGAAGGGAATGACAACAGAATTTTTATAATCTCCTAAAACAAGAGTGCGCCTTTTAGTGTGTTGAGATGAGAATTTTTTAACTGCTTAATTAATAACGTTGGGTGAAAAGACCCTGCCAATAGCTATTGCTTTTAAATAATTTAGTTCTTCATCAAGGGCTAGTTTGGAGGAGCAAACTTGAAGAGCACGGAAAACATAGGAATAAAATGAAGCTAACTTTTGTTTAGTCGGATGACATGATTTAAAGTGTGGTGGAAGGCAAACCGATGAAGGTTTACGGTAAACTGTAGTACTGAAGTTGGATGTGTTACGTGTGACCAGAATGTCGAGAAACGGAAGAGAATTGCAAGTCTCAAGTTCAAAAGTGAACTGAATAGCAGGATCAATAGAATTCATTGTTGAAAGAACTTTATTTAAATCATCTTTATTACCTTCAAACAGGGTAAAAGTAT